TATAGATTATCAATACTGTACTTATAATCAGGGCTTTCGAGAACTTGTATGAGATCAAAGATAGAGCAGCCCTCTTTTGCCATTTATTTATTTTTTGTTTTTTTCCCTTTGACAAAGGAAATACATAGAATGTTTCTTTATTAATAAAGCGTCGTTCCTATCCCTATAAATTATTTATGGGAATAATAACCACTAAGAGAAGACTATAAGAATTCTCGGGCTCGGGGAAAACCCTCAACTTGCCTATCTCGGCGATCTTATAAGTAAACCCTCGATTTAACAGACTGAACTTAATGGATAAAAATTCCTGTCCAATAGGAAAATTCTAAATGTTTTATTCGCGAATAGAATGTGCTAAAAGATTTAGATAATCAATAAATAATCAATGGTTTAACGAACGGACTTTCAGCAATAGCAGACACCTCTTTCCTCAATTAGTCCGTTAAATCGAGAGTTTATTATGATACTATTTATATGATGTATTATAAAGAAATTTTTAATTAATAAAGTATAAAAAGTTAAGTTTTAAATAATATACAAATAGATTAAAAAATACACTTAAAAAATTATAACGCTTTTAATTGTTGTTATATTAATTTAAAAAATAAATTTTATTTACATGAGAAATCTCTGATATGAACATTAATTAAAGATGAATTTTCTTAGTTTAATCTTATTTAATTAAAATACTTGTTGAAACAAAATATAAATAATATAAAAATACCATTAAAATATTAATGCCTTTATATTATTTATGCATAGTTTAAGTTTAAACCTTGATAACTTTGTATATTCTGAACTGAATGCTCGTTCTTTACGGGAAGTTACACTTCTTCAAGTTCAAATCTTCCCTCTTGGAATCCTTTCCGTTTTTCTCTTTTTAAATAAAAAGACTTGGTCGCGGGTTCGCTCCTCATTTCCGTGTTTTCTTCGCCTGTGTGATATCTAAATCAGATTCTTATAGAAAGTCCTCCGGAAAACACTCCCTCCTGGCAGATCGCTCACGTGTTATGTTCTATTATCCCATCAAATCGAACCAAACCCATAAAAAGAGGAAACGAGAAGTCAAAGATCGTATTTACACCCAAATCGGATCATCTGAACCGACGATAATTCTTTGCTTGGCTAAACAAATAATCTCCCTTTTCTTATCTAACTGCAAATTCCAATTGCCGATGCAATTGATCAAACGTGGTGGTTTCTTTCACACTAAACAAAATAAATAAATAAAAATTTTGATAATCTTTACTGATAATGTCATTATAGATAAAAAGAATTAGGGTAACTCTAAACGCTATAGTATGGCGATTATTATAATAATAGAAAATGTATTTTTGTTATTATATTTTGGAATTTTAATATTTGATATAATGTATTGATAATTTACATAATCAGTAATAGAAATTAAACATAATAGCATTTTCTAATGCTATAGAATCTTTAAAAACGCTGGCAAGGACTCTTGCACAAATTATCCTGTATTAAAATAGCAGGTTAAGGAAATAGGAAGGAAGAACGACAAGTTTCAATTATACTATGTCTAACAACTAAAAAGGAGTAATTTTTGTTAAATTATGATACATTTCCCTATTTTTTTAAAAAAAGAATATTTGTTTAAAGTAATATATGTGGCTCCATCTCTTATGAGATTTTATTAAAAATTAATTATTATAAAAATCAAAACCCTTATTTTTGGACAAGGGGGTGAACTTTTAAAAAAATTATAAATATCAATAACGAGTAAAATTTTCATTAAGTCTAATTTCACTCCATAAACTCCTACACTAAAGACTTTTAACCACTAAAGGCTAATAACATCAATTCCCCATATATAAAGAAATAACCCTGTCAAGTTTCAAAATTTTTGGTTCATTCATTCCTGAAATATAATGCAAAATAGACTCAGACACCCCACAGAATTTTGCAAGGGAATTCGTGGGGTATCAAGAAATTAAAAAAAAACTGGGAGATGAAAATTTGACTGATCACCATATTTTCTTATGTTAGGATATATTCCATAACAGCCTTGAAAGTAAAATAATAATAATAATAAACGTTTAGCAGAGTGAATGTTAATTTTTTAAACTGTTTTGATAAATTTTATTTATTCTGATTATAAAATTTATATAAATATAAATATTAATATCGCAATTAAAATTGAAAGTAAAAGGCTCGTAAATGAGATTTTGTAAACAATTTAAAATTTAATTGATTTCGTAATTGTATAAAAGTATTTTAAATTTAAAATGCTTGTCAGTCTGATGTACGTGAGCGAAATTTTTATTTTCTAATTAGAATGAGAGCAACGTAATAAGAAAAATTTCAATATACGACATCTACTCAATCGATAACCTATGACCTAACTTCAGCTTATATTTGATAATTGACTTTTTGATATTTTTTTAAGCAAAACAAAATGTTTTCCTTTTAATTTTTAAAATAAAAACCTTTACATCATGGTGTTTATTTGATTTTGTATTGATATATGTAATTTTAAAAATACTCTGTGTCCACCAGTGGCCAGTGGATAGAACCATTGAACACTGTTAATGGGTTCACGCCTCTCCAACAGGCTGGCCAGAGTTTTCCAGAGTTTCTTTGCATGTCTAACACATCTAAATAGGAAAGAAGTTTCCCGTAGAAAGTCCTTTCGGGAAACACTCTCCTTGGCAGACTGACCAAGTAACTTATTACGCGCCTTATTTCACTAACCAATGAACCAAAATAATTCCATCCTGATTCATTGTTTCTCAAACAGTTGACTATGCATTTCACCATCGGTATGACTTTACTGATGGTAAAGTAATTTTTACCACACACTTCTCTTGTCACTTTTTCAAAAGATACAATAAATTGGTTATCTTTCTCAAGCATTCCAGTTCTCTAATATTTAGCATAGATGGAGATTTTGGGCATCTTAACAACGCTATGCTAACTTCTTCACTTACTAGTTAGCTGTAAAATTCTTTCCAGAGCATGAAAAGTAGCATTTCATCTAATGCTTATGTCCTGTATCAGTTTTAATGCTTTGTTTTGTATGGCTTTTCTATATATAAAACGTTAAAATCTTATTGAGGAGGATGAGAAGCCTATAAAGAAAGTCGATTCCGCCGTGAAACTCTTATTTTCTGAAATGTAAAAAACGAAAAGCTGAAGATACTTTTAATTTATTGTCTCATTTGAAAATTTTTGTAAATTTTCTGTGTACTTGCTGTCCTGGCCATTTTGTCAAATATTTTGTTAAACTTTAGTTTTTACATTGGTTTCCATCATTGACATGACATATCTCCAGTCATTTAAAAACGTTATAATTTTAAAAGTTTTATATTTATTGCATTATACATGCAAGATATAAATGTCAAATTAATACATTAATGAAAACATGTTACATTAACACATGTCTTAATAAATTACTATTATTGTTCATTGCTTTAGTTTCTTTTCTGAAGACATAAGTATAAATGTTTCCAAACGACATCAAATTAAATTATTACCAAGTCTATTTCAAGCATATTTTAATGTCGAAAATGATCTTTTTGCAAAATACCTAGTGGATGATACAGTTAAAACGTCGAGAAATGCAAAAAAGTTGGGGTTTTATCTGTATGTATACATGTTAGTATGTGTTAATGGCAAAATTTTGTTCACCTATTTTGAAGTTTAATATCTCCTGCGCCTTTCCCTGAAAATTTCTGAAATTTTGCAGAAAGATTTGTGTATTGCTATTAAATTTTGGAGGTTAAAGGTCGAGCGGGTGGGAAATAGAGGGGATCGTTTGTCATATCTCGAACGGGGTCGGACTTTTAATTAATAAAAATTTTACTCCTTATTAGCATTTACAATTGTTATTAATTTTTATAGAACTCATCTCTACTCTCAAAATTAAGCTTTTTGCCATTTTATAATAATTAATAATATATAAAAGGTTTTTAATAAAATATCATAACAGATAGCGTCATACATAATTTTAATTCTTGTCGGGAATGTTACGCAACTCGTTGCTGAATTTATTTATTTATTAAATCATATTCTCAGACGTATCAAATGAGATTTTTTAATACTACATAAAAATTTAAGGAAGGTATTCGATTCTAAGTAGTAAAAACCATTATAAATGGCATCGATAGACGATTACGTTATGAATATTAATTTGGAAATTGTCGTAAACATTTACATTCTCGCTCATTTTTGTTTTTTGAAAATATTTGTTAATTTCTTAATTTAAATCTCTGCCTTGACCATCCGACCACCAGTATGTTTTTATTATCACGAATATAAACCGTAAATGCACTGGAACCGTTCCTAGAACGAGTATTTTTTAAATATGCTAGTTGTTCTGAGCGTGTCATAGCCAAGCGATTTCACAATGATGCAACAACGTAATAAGAGACGAATACGGGATTTTTGCTGTAAAAATAACACAGAATTCCGAAAATATAGTGTTGCGTCTTATTCTTATCAATTCTATATTATTATCTTACAAATTTTAACGGCAGCTGTTTGCTCTCTGAAGACGACGGCTCACCAGGGAAAGCTTGGTACCCCGGTGGACCAGTCCAACCCAGCAACTATCTGGTAAACATATGTTAAAAATTTGGATCGAATTACATTTGAGGAATACGAAAAAGTCATACCTTTTGTGTAAACATATATATTCTACTGTATTTTTCATGAAGTTTATCAGCCGGGAATCCAGAAAAATGATCTTCCAGACACTTTTTTGCGGGTCGCCCTGCAAAAAAAGAGTTTGGGAAATGACTGAAACATGCATAACCAATGCTTTGTGAAATTTTCAATTTGTGGTCCGTCATGTCAGCCCTCAGAATAAACTTTCGGATTGTAAAGGTTTTTGTTTTTTGGAATTTCGGATAAATCGTTCTCAGCCTATAATATCCTTATATACAGGGTGCTTCAAAAAAATGTATACACACTTTGAACTTCCATAGAAAATTTATTTACCGTTCTACAAAGTTAAATTTCAGGAAAATAGAAAGCTGAAAGTCCAATGTAAATGAAACATAAATAACAAATGTTAATACTGTTCAAATTGGTGACCTGCAGCATCAATACAATTCTGAGTACGAGTCACCACAGATTCTGTACATCGTATCAAAACGTCCAATGAGATTTCTCTACACACTGCTTGAATCTCATTCCAAAGAATGTCTAGGTTACGTGGTTTACGTTTGTACACCTCATCTTTTACTGTGCCCCACAAGAAGAAATCCAGTGGTGTAAGGTCTGGAGAGCGTGGTGGAAACTCGATTGGCCCCCTGCGTCCTATCCACTGGCCCGGCAAATTTTGATCCAGGTAAGCTCGTACGTCCCTGTGATAGTGCGGCGGAGCACCATCTTGTTGAAAATAAAAATCATCATTATCGTATAATGCACGAATGGCAGGAAATATGGAATCAGCAAGCATTGTTAGGTAATTAATACCAGTTACAGTGCCTTCAAATCGAAAAGGTCCAATGAGTCCCCTTGAAGACAAACCGCACCACACATTTACACCAGGCAAATTTACAGCTTTTTCAATTGTAATGTGAGGATTTTCTTCACACCAGTAAACACAATTGTGCCTATTGACAGTTCCATTAAGTTTGAATTGGGCTTCATCCGACCAAATGATGCTACCCATAAATCCCGGTTTACGTATCACCATNTTCTGTTTTTAATCTCATTGTTGTTACTAATTTCAATTAAACTTATATAATTTTCAGTTAATCATTGGTTTTAAAAGTCCAATTGGCTGACAAATGGCAGATTGTTTATTCATCTTATTTTTAGTTCAAATTGTTTATAGTAATCAAAGTATAATTTCATCATATTTATTATTATTCTTTAGTTTTGGAGTGATATTCTTTATTGGATTTTGTGATTATTTCTTTTCTATTGAATATTGGGTGGTATCACTAAAGAACACTAATTAGATATAATGACAATTTGTAAAATTAACATCTTGTCAAGACAATTACAAAGACAAGTATGCAACTTGATTTTCAATTTTATGGAGAAAGAGCCTTTTGCTTTTGGATGACACATGTACCTTGAATCGAGATAACTTTTATTATTGAATTTATGTAATGATAAGAGTATTATAAACATTTCATGGACTTTAAACTTTTAAGAAATCTAAATATAACTAATCAGTCCTAAGTGAAAATAATTGTTCACGCTAAATTTACTTCTGTTTTGAGTTTTAAACATTGATTTTTCAAGATGAATTAGTCTACATATTCATATGATTTTTCTTTTTCTCAAATAAATACATGCAATTGTACATTAAGGAAAACCTGGCTCAAGTAAATGAATTCAAAACTTAGTTAACTCATGATGATGATGATATTCATTTGGCTCATTGCATCATTTACTGAACCTCAATGTCAGATATGATGGAATTACAGCCTTTGAGGCATGTTGATTGTGAGAAGCATTAAAATAGAAGTGCATCTTTTCATTACCTTTCCCCCTCTTCAGATTTCTCTTGGTTAGTGAAAACAGGTATTAATATAAATCTCTTGTAAAAGCAAAGTGGTGTAAAGCAAACTTTTGTAAAGTAGGAGATAACTGTATAATGATTTATCAATAAGAGCTGTGCTGTCAAGTTATTGTCTTCTGAATTCTACAAATCTTGTGTCAATGCATTAGCTCTGTTATAAATTTTTTAAATAGAATTTAATCAGATTAAATAATATATCAAATTACAGATCAGATTAAAAAATACATTTATATATTTTGTCAACAGTTTTTTTTGTTGTGTTTTTTATGCATGTTTAAAACTTTTTTCTGAAACTTAAATACAGAGACAACCCATAAGTAAACAGAAATACTGAATGTCAGTAGTATTAACTCTGAAAAATATATTGCCATGTTGGAGAAGTTGAATTTGAATATTCTCTGGTGGACTGATGGAGAAAGCATCCACCCTGTTCATGGATGATGAAACAAACTCCTTGTCACATTGCCAAAACAACCCAGAATTGGTTGTCAGTATAAGTCATCTTCCATGGCTTGATAATGTTAGTCAGTTACCTGATTTGAATCTTATAAAACCTATGCAGAATCTGCTGGATTATGTAGGGTGACAATGTTCACAAAAATCCATTTTCCATGGATAACTTTTAGATTTTTTGCAAGCAAAATTGGCCAACATTCCACAGGCCAAGACTTTAGAACTCATTGATTCCATGGCTGATTGGGTTAAGGCTTTGAAGAAAGCAAGTGGTGGGACAGCTAGGTTTTCATGTGTGTATATAGCATTTGCATCACTTGGATACTGTGAAATTGTAGTTTATTAATATTAATCAATAAACAGAAAATTGTTAAAATATTATTTTCAATTATTGATTAAATAAAGTTTATTTCAATTTCTACATTTCAATTTACTTAATTTAAATATTTTTAAAGCTATAATTTCATCAGCAAAAGGAATAGAAAACATTTAAATGATTGCTTTTTAATGAAATAAAATATTAATTCATTCACATTCTTTTTAAATTAAAATAAATTGTTATAAATGATAAGTCATGTAAGTTACATGCCATGTATTAATGCTATATTTATAATTTTCAGTTTATTGGATAGCTAGTTTTCTTGATTACATTTTATTCAAATCAATTTCATATCAGTTTTAATTCATCAAATAATTGATAAGTAAATCTTTTGATTTAATAAAAATATTTTTATTTGTTTTAGATGGGAAGTTCGATTTGATCAGTATAACCGAAAATACTACGTTGATCATAATACAAGGAGTACAACATGGGAAAGGCCTCAGCCATTACCTCCAGGGTATAAATCAAAAAATTTAATTTTTTATTCATTAATATTTTTGATTGCATAATAGTTTAAAACGAAATTAGCAATATTGATTTTTTACTTAGTCTCTTTGCTTATTTTAGTTATAATAAAATATAGGAATATTTTAAAACATTGTTGTGCTTCGCTTATAAACAGTGTCCAAGTAAAAATAAATATTGCTAGTCTTTTAATGATCTGTTTTCTATTGATATAATAATTTTTAAGTGAAGTGTCCATTCTAAAATAAAAAAGGTTATTAAAGCATGTGATTATTAATTGTATAATATAAATATTTATTTGCTCATAAAATAACTTCCTAAGCAACTGTTCTCCAGTTTAAATGATAAATATCAAGTAATGGTAATAAAGTATACTTTTTGAATTTACATTGTAACAAAATTCTTAACAAAACTGTTTTACCTTAAATTTTTTATGAGAAATATTTTCTGTAATTAGAAAAAAATTTAGTTAGATTAATTTAAAAGTTGTAATATGCAACTTTTAAACTAATTTAATTAAACACAACCTGTTATTTACATAATATTGTAAATGCTATAGTTTAGCTTTTTTCTTTTTTAACTTATGCAGGAAAATGCATCTTTATATTTTAAAACATACTTAAAGAATAATTTATATTAATAAATTAATAAAATTTTTCTATAAAACTATAGTATTTACTAACTTTAGTATGTTTAGTCTAGTTTAGTCTATGATTAGCTTCATTAGAACGAATTAGCCAAATAACAGAACAAAATATTTAAAATTAAAGTAAAATAATAAGTACTATTTTTGTGAAACTGAAATGTGTTTTATTGCACTATAGTTTTACATAAGTAGAGAAGTATATCTTCTAGTTTCTTGACTATCTTACTAAAAGTCATGTGACTTTAATGATGCTACAACTGATTATTTCATCTTTGATTTTTCAAATTTAAAGTTTACATGTGTAATGAAGCAGCAGTTTTGTTTTAGAAGTTCTCTATTATACCATCTGAACAAATGTAAAGTTTGCTCACAAGTAGCAATGTGTAACATTTATTTATTATAGGATCAAGAGATACAGTATTTGAAACTTCATATAAATAAATAAGCAAGCCCATGGACAACTTTTACTTTATATGACTGAAATTTCATTATGTTTGTTTTTGGTAGTTATATGAACAGAACTATGAGATGAATCTAGTCACTTGAGCTAAACAACTTAAAGATTTTATGGAACTTACTTCTAAGTTTGTTCAAATGTCTTGGAAGTCTTTCTTCACATAACTTTTTTATAACATCCTTTTTTGTTTCACACAGATTCTGTAGACCATGTAAGAAGATAAAGGATGTGTCACAGCTACTTAACAGTAAGAAACAATAGTAAACAAAAATTAGTATAGTTCTGTGCGTTATCAGTATAAGCGTGTATAATTATACAGCGTTTTATTTTTTAATTTAATGTATGTAGGTTTATGTTATCAATGTTATCAACTTATCCTAACAGCAGTGAATAATAACTTGTGCTGTACGAGTGTCATTGCATTTTTAATGGTATGTCTTAAAAGTTACATGTTTTAGAATCGTTATATAATTTTTACAAAATGTAATAATCTAATGTAAATGTTTCTTCTTATCAGTTGACTGATGAGGGGCTATACGCCCGAAACGTGTAAAAGTGCCCGTATCAACTGAATAAAGTGGATAAACGCCAAGTGTTTTAATAATAACACAGTCTTGTGTTCAATAGTAAATAAATACGAAAACATGGTTTCAAAAAAAGAATTTTATATATGTTTTGACATAAATATTCGATTTAATAGTTTCATGTATATAAATGTTTTAACTTTTCAAATAACTTCTTCACTATAGAAATTCGCCAAAAGTTTCACCAGAGGCTAGTCTTTTTCCAACTGCATTTATTGCTACAATCAACCCCTGATATACTCCATTTAAGATATATATAAGAAAGGGGTTTCCTTCGTAATGAAAAAGTTAATAAGAATGCTAAATAAACGGAAAATAATTTAATTGTAGACTTAACTACCAACTTAGTAATTTATATATATTTGTTATAATCCATTGTGTAAATATTAAAAGCGAAAATGTATTAAAATGTTTGGTGATTCGTATTAAATTTCAACTTGGACCTCCCCTTTACGTCGGATCTAATTACGCTACCATACCAGTATTTTGTAAATGAGAGTACTTATTTTTGTTATTTTAAAGCTAAATCTTCCATTTTAAGCTTTAAAGATACTATTTTTTTTAGCTTAAATTTGGATATATTTTGTTGAAATAACCTGCAGCATTTATTTTCGTTTACCTCATTTTTATGCATTAAAAAAATAGTAAATTCTCTTTGATTTAAAAAACTAAATTCCTTCTTTATCCATCCAACCTGAATTGGAAAAATCGCAGACCATCCGGATAAAGTAAAATTCTAAATTTTCGCCCTGTTTTATTTAAAAACTTTCTTGAAGGTAAAAACTGCTTAAATTTATATAAGGTATCTTTCAAATTCAAATATATGTACGATTAAATTAAATTTAAAAATTAAATAAAAATTATT